AGAGTATTTGACAAAAGGCCAGCTTAGTGTGAAAATTGATGTTTATAGCTTTGGAGTGGTGTTGTGTGAGCTTCTATCATCAAAGCTTTCAATATTCCATATTATGAATGAGGAGGATAATCTTAATACCCTTTTAAGCAGAAAAATTGAAAACAAAACTTTGGTGGAGCTGTTTGATCCGAGACTTGGGTTCCAATCAAACCTTAACATCAAGCAGTTGATGACTGCTACAGCTGAGCTTGCAGTTCTCTGTATGAAATGTCCACAAGAATCGAGGCCAAACATGGAACAGGTGCTAGAGATTCTCAATGAAATGAAGCAAGGGAGATATGTAACAACCTCTCGCTCAACTAAAGGTACAATATCTAAACCATATTATATCCCTTTTCCTCTCTCATGGTTTTCTGGCTTCTATATGTTTTAGTGTTTACAGACTGAGGATAAAAGGTTTTAATACGGTCTTATAATCCGTACATTTCAGCTTTGAAAATCTTCCACCATGCTGAACTTGAAGAAGCTACTAACAATTTTGGCACCTGCCTTGGTAAGGGAGGGTATGGCAGCGTATACTATGGTGAGAGACTAATTAGTCCTCATAATTTAAATCATGGTTCTCTGTAAGAAATATGCATATAGAAGTTAGATTATGCACAGTGTAAAACAGTTTTATATTGTCATCTAATCAGAAATCACCATGTATAATAAGTTTATTGGCTTCAATAATGAACATGTTAACATTTGTGTCAATGGTTATTTCTGATTAATTGACCATGTAAACACCTTTTACATTGACCGTGCATAATTATTAAAATCATGCATATATCCTCCTTTATTTGTTACACATACAAAAATATTTCACACCAATAGATTTATCTTTGTTCTGATGGCATTCCATTGTAATAGGAAAACTTAAAGATGGACTAGAGGTTGCAATAAAATGTTTCCATGACGAGAATGAGACAGAAGAGACCATTAAGCAATTCATGAAAGAATCTGATATCTTAGGTCTCTTGCACCACCAAAATCTGGTCTCACTCTATGGCCGCACTTCTCGCCATTGCAAGAAACACATGCTAGTGTATGAGTACATCTCCAATGGCACACTTTCCAAACATCTTCATGAGTCTTCCGGTGATAAACTACCATGGCAAACTAGATTGAATATTGCCATTGAAACTGCAACTGCATTGGTATTTCTTCATGACTCAAGTGTCATCCACCGTGATGTGAAAGGGAGTAACATTCTGTTGGATGAAAATTTTACTGTTAAAGTTGCTGATTTTGGATTCTCACGGTCTCTTCCAGATCATGTTACTCATGTTACAACTATTCCAGTAGGAACTCGTGCTTATATAGATCCTGACTACTATATATCTGGAAGGGTCAGTAACAAAAGTGATGTATATAGTTTTGGAGTGGTCTTGTTTGAACTCATATCATCTATCCACCCAAGTTTTGTTGCAGGCACAGATAATGAGACTCTGGCACAGTTTGCAAAGAGAAAAATTTTGAACAATGAATTAAACGAGATAGTTGATGAAAGCTTTTCCTGTGGTTCTGACGATAACATTTTGGAAATGATATCAGCAGTGGCAGAGTTAGCATTTCAGTGTGTGCAGTGTCCCAAGGAGTTCAGACCATCCATGAAACAGGTGCTAGAGACCTTGGAAGGCATAAGTAAAGGAAAATGGGGATTCAACCAGATGACGTAGTCTTCATTCACACACACTACCAGTGATTATCAGTTAGACAGTAACTTCAGAAACCTGCTTTTGAGATTCACTTTAGATCATTGTTTCACTTTCACAATTGTTTATTTGTATCCCACAATAGGAATGTTGTTTTCTTCTCACTGTTCTCTTTTTCTTTTTCTTTGTTGGTTATTTAACTGTGTAGTCACACCATTTATATAAAGAATATCATTTGTTCTTCTGAAAAATCTTGTCTATTCTTTTGCATCCTTTCTTCCAAAAGCATGGTTCCTTTAATTTCAACAACGCAGACATGCTAGACTAGACATTAGTGTTTATGCTAGACTAGACATCCAAAAATTAAATTTTATATGATAAATTTAACATTCATATTATAAAATGGTGATGATAAGAAAATTTAATTTTAAATTTGAGAAAAGTATGATCTCCTTAGGGTTAAGAATTAGCAACATTGTGAATGTGCTGATAAAATGGCATGTGGTGGCATATGTATACTGGTAAATGTTGTCATTATATCCTTAGCAAGACATGGACACACTAAAGTTTAAGAACCCCAAACCAAACCAAACCCCAATGAGGGCCCATTCATTTGATAATCTGAATAAGGATAGTCACATGTCTCATCCCAATTTCACCATATGCAATGTAACCCTTCCTTTATATAATTGTCCTTTCTTAAATTTTTGTGACAAACCTACATTGACACAAGCCTTGGACCCACCTTTTTCATTCTTCTCAGCCACACATTATTTCCTTCCATTCAGACATACCATCTATATTTTCTCACCCATATCTTTTCTTTATCATATCAAAATATATTTGTGGGCTATGCCTTACATATTCTGGGAAAATGAGTCTTCCCTGTTCAATCAATTGTTTTTGTCATCTTTATAAATATCCTATATGTCATGCTTAATCTCAATTAAGGAAATCTAAATATTTCAAGATAATTAAGAAAATTAAAAATTTAATTTGATCAAGATAATTCATTAAAAATTGTCAGAAAATAACTTGTCACAATAAAGATACATGAATACATTGTTTTTTATTTTATTATAACCAGTGATAGTTTGAAAGTTTTGTTAATTAAAATTGATCTGTTTGTTGCTCAAAAAGAAAAATTTACTTACTAATCCTAAGTAATTAAGAAAATTATGATATTTATGAATATGTATAAGTAATTATTAAGTGGGTATTTTTTTAAAAACAATAGTTATATTTATGGGATCATGAGATATAGATTTATGTTTCCATTGAAATAATACTTACTTTAAATATATAATAATAGTATAGTTAATAATAACATGATTATACAACATATAATATGTAAATATTGTCCTAATATAAATATATTTGAGTTGCTTCATTATAATAAAACTTATGGTCATATTCTTTAGTATGTTTACTGAATAAGTAGGAACAAGTTTTTAAAAATAAAAAAGAAAAAAACTAAATTATTTATAATTGAGTGTTAAAAATAAAATAACTTAAACATTGATTGTTTATTTCTATTAAACTTTTATAATATATATTTTTCTAAAATATAAAATATATTTTTTCTTAAAATTCAGAATCTTATTTAAAACTCAGGTCTTAAATGTTTATATTAAATCAACGTATTTTAATTAAAATATTTGATTAAATAAACCTTTAATGGAAATTCTCAGAATAATTGTAAGTATATCTAATAAAATCCAGGAAAGAGTGTACGAGTTGTTTGAAAAGCAGTGGGTCAGTCTTGTGTAATTGAATTGAGAGATTAGGTTTATATGGAAATCAAGGGTCCACTTCTTTCTTTTTCAGTTTCACTCAATGCCACTCAATGCTTACAACATCCTAAATTTATATATGAAGCTACTAGAAATACCTCGAAGCTGTCAAAAACAACAATAACACAAACTTACAATATTCATAAAAATTCTCAGAAAAACAATACGACACATAATCTTAATAGTTGGATTTGCTTAGAAAATTCGCATGAAAGAAACCCACTAACAAACATATACTAACAAACATATGGTAAAAGATAATAATACTTTGACAATATTTTAATATCATGTACGTGTTATTATATGATGGCTTAATACTTTTTTTTGTCCCTCTTTATAAGGGAAATGTTCAATTTCGTCTTACCTTTTTCAAAAAGTTCAATGTGGTCCCATGTTGTGAAAAAAGTGTCCAATTTAATCCTTTTTGGTCACGGCGTTAAATATTTAACGATCCTGCTGACAGCGTGGACTGATGTGTGCAACGTGGCTTTTTACCTTCGTAACGTGGCAGTGACAGTGTTTTTCATTAACTGAGAACGTGGCAATGGGCAGTGATTAAAATTGTGAGTGTTAGGGTTTGGTTTGGGTAATTCGAAATCGTGATTTGGGGATAAGCATTTTGAGACAAACATACTTTGACTGTTGAGATCAATGGTACTGGAATTTTTCAGACATGATTTCAGTGGCGGTCCTGTTTGTTTACTAGCTTATGGGGGCACATGAGCACAGCACTCAAATCTTACTCTGCGTTCTTTCTTTCGGCTTTCCTTTCTCGATGTATTGGATTTTTTCAGACATGATTTTAGTAAGGGCACGTGAGCAGAACGCTGGAACCCTCTTCTTTTGGGCTCAAAAGGGTCAAGCCAAAATTGGACTTTAGCCATACCAAACAAGGCCTTCCTTTTGGCATATTTATATGCAGCAACTGCAACACTTCTTGTAAAAAGCACACCTGAGCCAAGCCACAGTAGAAAAAAGACTCTTGTTTTAGAGGAATCTACCGAACCAACTACACTAAACTTTTTTAGTAACTCTTCCTTGGATGGAAGGTTGAAATTCTTGGGGAACTTCATGTGAAGGGATTTACAACAAGAGGGGACATGCGTTCTTGATAACTGTCCAGCTTTTGAATTGAATTTCGAAGAAGCAACACCTTGGAAGCGATCCTTACCCTCTACCAAACAACCCTCATAAAATAATTTCGTTCCTTCAGACTTTTCTGAACTGGGAGTCGTTGTAACACTATTGCAACTCATTTGCAGACTTTCTTGGTAAAGAGATCTTGAAGGTGAAATCGCGATTTCAAAATGCTTATCCCCAAATCGCGATTTCGAATTACCCAAACCAAACCCTAACACTCACAATTTTAATCACTGCCCACTGCCACGTTCTCAGTTAATGAAAAACACTGTAACTGCCACGTTACGAAGGTAAAAAGCCACGTTGCACACATCAGTCCACGCTGTCAGCAGGATCGTTAAATATTTAACGCCGTGACCAAAAAGGATTAAATTGGACACTTTTTTCACAACGTGGGACCACATTGAACTTTTTGAAAAAGGTAGGACGAAATTGAACATTTCCCTTATAAAGAGGGACAAAAAGAGGTATTAAGCCTTATATGATTGATCTAAACTTACTCCAGAATTAATAATAATAATCATAAACACTATGGACCAATCACAAAATGAATGGTGTTAAAATATTGTCAAAGTATCATTATCTTATGCTAAATGTGCAAATTAATTAAGTACTTTCCATATAAATATTTATATATAAGTTTTCTTTAATAAAATAAAATACAAAAATTTTCATAATCTATTTTGAAGAACTTAATAAGAGCTCATTGACCTATCAAACTATGTCTTATAATGGTAAATTCACGTTTTAAGTGACTAATATTCTCTTGATCAATCTCTTTTTTAGTGAAATGTGTGATGTATAAAAAATCTTGAGATTAATGCCAAATAATTATCCTCATAAATAAAATAAGACAACAAGTAATTTTCATAATTATCCTCGTATTTACACTTGTTTCTAAATATATTATTTAAAAATAAAAATGTGTGAATTATTGAATTTTAGAAGTTTGTGAGATCGTGGGTTTTCATTTAACTTTTGCAGTTCATAGGACCCATTCTTGTAAGTGATTTAATGCAATGAATAGACACCGTGTATGGAATGATATATCATATTCATGGCTGAAACGATGTGGACCAATTCGTAATCGACACTATTAAGTTTCCATGCTTTCAATGATGAGGATGTTCTTTTCCACTTTTAGTTCAATTTTTTTTTCTCACAAATATAATTACAATAACATTTTTTAATGCGAAATTTTTTCTTTATAAGAAACAGTCTTATTTAAACTAACACAATTATAGCAATGAAATAAGAGGGTAAACTGTGTCACGGTTCATGCCAATTACTAGCTTCTACAACGGGTTAAAAATTTTAATCCAACAATTTTAATTCACTTTATCTAACATGTCAAATTATCGATTAAAAGATGAGATGAAATGAATTAATTGATGATTCATTTTTTTCTTAAAGTAAAAACAATTTAAAATATTAACATTTTATATATTATATTTTTCCAAGAATATAAATTAACACTTATAAATTAAATTCTAATTTATTAATTATAATAAAGTAATTTATTATGTATATGTGATAATTTTAATTTATTCAATTAAAAATATTAATTAATAAATTAAAATTTTAAAAATTATTTATATGATTAGATATAATTTTAATATATATTAAAAACTAAAAACTAAAAAAAAATTTACAAGCTAATTTTCTAGTCTGTAATATTTTTTTTTGGTAACAGATCAACCTGAATTGACTCATTATTAACAATACCAATAATATATTGGACCAAAACAGCAAGTCAATAACCTATTGAACTAAAAGAAATCAATTCATTTCGACATTTCCTTAATAAGCTAGATCAACATGTATTTCCTCATATGTTATTCATTGTAAAGAAAGAAAATACATACAACAAAAACCAACAAAACACAAGATGATAAGCTAATTTATAAAAACAAACATCATACACAAATTTTATCATAAAGTAGTATTATACAGTTTAAATAGATATCACATCACATGCCATGCATCAAAAGACTTTTCTAGACTAAATTATCTAGATAATATGTATCAATGTTAGATTCTTAGAGATTTTACATCTATGGTGGCCCTACTGCTCTACCACACACAATATTAGTACTCCCCCCATCATAAGAACCATGAAATTGTTCTTATATTAGGACTTCCTATTACTCTTACCACCTAACTCATTCTTTTCTAGATGAGTCTGAATAATTAGCAGAGTATCAAGATAATCTTCGTTCCCGAATCCATAC